TCCTTCCCCTTGTCTTGTCAAAATACGGGTGTAAAAAGTCAATCTCTCTTCTGTTTATAAGCTCTCTTTTTAAGTACTGGAAGGCCACAGTGAGCCTTTTCTTCTCCAAGTTGCAGCCCAGGATAACATTGGCCTTCCTGGCTGCTAGAGCACACTGCTGGCTCACATCCAGCTTTCTGTCCAGCAGAACTCCTTAGTTTTTCTCCATAGTGCTGCTCTCAATGAGTTTTTCCCCCAGTCTGATTGTGAGAGGCAGAGCTCCTCCGTGTTTATAAAGGAGAATCTAAAATCTCTTTTACTTCCTGCCTCCTCCCTATAGGAGGATATCTCTCACAGAATCACAGCATCACAGAATCACTGTAATTCTATGAGAGATATCCTGGTCAATTCAAACAGAGAAATATACCACGTCCAGGGTGGGTAGAGTCAGTCTCAAACACAGATGGAAACAACTCATGTTTGGGCAGAATACACTGATTTGTGCTGCTTTGGGATTCAGACTTCCTACAGCAGCACAAGTTGCCATCTCCCTTCTCCTCCAGATACTTTTAGCTCCCTTGAGCTATATAAGCTGTCTAAAAGAATGGTTTCAATTTGACAAAAAGAGGACATGGTAGAGGAATGAAAATGAAATCTTTCATGAAATCATTCGCTCCTCTGGTACTTGAGATTGCAACAATGATCTAACTTGTTATTGCATTTGCAAAGAAACTGATATAAAACAGCACAAACATACATATGTTTAGGTATACAAACATTCATTTGGGTGCATTTTAATCTGCATGCCTATGATCTCCCAAATTTGAGCTGGGTTCCAGTTCAAAGACAGAGTAATTTGTAATTACTTTTGTAATTACTTGTAATACCTCATCTTATCCTGTTGTCAAGATTCATCAGTTCTTTAAAAAAGGCAAATAATATCTTTCAAGTGTACTGGGAAGTTACAAGATGTTGAATTACAAATGCCAGTAGGTGGAGAGAACAGAACCCCAAAACTTTTCAGGGGAATCAAGATATTGGAAAGAAAGAACGGAAAAGCTCGATTTTGCAAACTATTTAATTTTTGGAGCCAGTGCATCAAAAGCCACTCTGGAGAGCCGTGCAGAACTGTATCTGGGAGGAGCGTGGAGACACATCTCTTGCTACATATGCAGACTGCGTAAGTGTGGAATTTGGAGGAATGTTACTGTCTATTCCAAATTTGTCTAAGGAAAATAGCTGAACAAAGTGTGTTTGGGTTCAGGAGAAATAAAACTGCAATTTTCAAAAATTTAAGGGCATTCTCTCTCGTCTTTGGGCCAAGGTATTCGACCTTCTCTCTTTCATCTAATGGTGGACATTGGAAAATGGGGATTTATCAGTGCATATCAGTGACTATTGCAAACTGAATGCTAATGGAGTTTCAGTCCACACATTCGAATATACCGTTCTTAATTCAAACAACTTAATTTCTCTTTATAATATGGGATGGATAGCAAAACAAATTTTATAAAAAATAAGAAATTGATGCTTTATCTTTAAGTAAAATATTGTTATAGGGATTTACTATTGGAGGTCAGCTTGTACTTAGTATTCATAGCTGTTGAGCCACCTACTGAGGAAGAAGGCAGAGTTAGAGCTTGAGTGATTATTCTTCACCAGCAGCCAGTCTCCCTAACCAGCTGATATTCCATACTGAATTGTAGTTCCAGTGTTTCATCAAAATGATTTGCAGTTTATATCCTGCATTTACCTCATGTCCTTTAGTCAGCTCATTGTGAAAGTGCACAAAAGGAGGGTTAGGGAAGCAGCTGTGATATCTCTGCTCCTCAATACAGACAACATACTTGCAAGCAATTACTTTTCTGCATCTTTTCTGAGTTCATATCCTCTGTGCACATCAGAGATGGCAAATTAATTATTATATTGAGTAGTATAACGCAATAAGAAACAAAGTACATTCAAATCTAGAGGTCAGTTTTAGGGATTTTCTGTTTACCCAAAGAAAAAAGAACAAAGGTTTGAAAGTTTTTTTTCTGTCTTTTTAAGAAGCTCTCCCTAAATACGCTGCCTCTTCCTTTGGCTTGTCTTCATTTCTAAGAGGTGGAGTGGCCAGATGTGCACCCTGGGACAGAAGGTGCCACTCACTGAATCACCAAAGCTTCATGATATCATGTGTTAGTCTATCTATACTAACTTTAGTATTTACTTCCACAACTAGTTCTGAATTTCATAAGATCTTACTGAAAATTGTTGTATCAGGTTTGTCCTTATTTGCTTCCTTCCTTGTCATCATATGTTCTGGGGCATGGCACGCTGGGAAATAGAGGTTATATAGGGAAAGGAAGTCTGCACAGGTACACAGAGATATATAGGAAGTCACAGCTTCCCATAAAGTTCAGTTTATGTGTCTCATCACGTAAGTCCTGTGCAGAAATCTTTGTTAAGGCTGCCATTTTGGAAATTGCCTGGAGTTTATATGGTAACATCAATTAAAGTAGAAGTAGAAATTCCCAGATTATTTTATCAAGACTGTAGCTATATTTTTACATATTGAAAACTTGAATGTCTCAGTTTTCACTTGATTTCTTAGGATTCTCTGAGAGTTTGCATCTTTGTATGCATTTAGAAAAACTTCAGCTATGCCTCCAAATGAAGTTGTTTTTAAGAAGCTTTACAATATAGAAAGAATCTTATCAATTTTATAAGTAGCATAGAGGAGAACTAACATGTCTGCTCCTTCTTATCTGTTAATAGAAATTTCAATTTCTATCTAGCTGTCTTTTCTACTAACCAAATAAGTTTAAATCACAAAAATACTCAGATTTATCAGAAAGCTTATAGGAGACATTTTGAAGTAGGAATTTACAAACGCTCTTTGTTTTCTGTAGATAAAATGTAGGCCAGATATTCACTTGGCATAAATTCAGATACTTTCACTGTCTTCAGAAAAACTAAAATATATTGCTAAAGGAATTTGATTAGTTTGAATCAATTTCTCTTCTTGTTTGCTCTCATGGAAATTAGAGCAACCTCCCCCCGAAAGATATCTTTCAAGCTATACCAGTGTAAAGTAAAATACAGAGCTTGATCATTAATGTTTTCTCTTCCTGTGTCAATTGATCTCTCTGTTATCTACAAAGAGTTTAGCTATAAAACTATTAAAGTACAGGCCGACTGATGGAGCAGAGGTTGATTTAAAATAATAGTTCTTACATCTAGACAAAAACTGCAGCTGTGAATATCCTGCAGATAAACACTGTATTTGTGAAGTGGACAGTCCATCTTCAAATCACTGAACATCACAAGGTGCCTTGTTACTTCCTTGTTCATATCCCTAATTGCTGATTTATTAGCAGGTTTGTTAAATGTATTTCTTGGAAATCGAATCAGAAATACAACAACTGAAGAACATTCACTGCCTTATTTCAGATTGTAACAGAAAGAAAGAGTATTTATGCATACATGTAACTTTTCTACAAGCTCTCTCAGAACCCAAAATTTAACAACTAAGATAGAAAATTAGACTGATGTTGTAAGGCTTGATCTTTCTTTAAAGTTCATATGATTTCGTCAGGGTGTCATGTCAGATCAATCAATAGAGAAGGTGAAGATGCAGGTTATCAGTAGGGTATAAGACACAATAGGAATTTACCAACCTTTCTAACATGGGTACTCTTTCTCACCTAAGCTGTGGCACACTTTCATCTGATCTTTTTATTGCTAAGTATATTATTTGTTTAAAAAGAAGAATAATCAGGAGTGTGATGCCCTAATTTTTAGAGAATAAAAGCCACTAATGTTTGACTTCATTTCATTTCATTTCATTTTAATTTTAGTTCCTTCCTAGTAAGAGTTTTTGGGGGTAAAAAAAAAAAAAAGAAAAGAAAAAAAAAAAAAGTGATTTAATCAATGAAAAAAATCCCTTCAAAACTTCTAAAAAGAAAATAAGGTACACAGTTCCATAAATAGTGGATGGGCTTTAATGAAAGAAGTACTTTCAATTTTGTGTAACATCAGTAGGAAAGAGCAGAGTATGTTGGTCCTTTTCTCCCTAAGCTCTGCCCTCAAGGGAAGAATTTGAATTACAAAAAATTGAGGAGGTGTGATTTCATTTCCTTTTCAAAACTGAAGAACAGTGTGGGGCCAAGAGTCTTTATTTTATTTGCTTAGTGAGTGATATAGAAAATGTGCTCTCCGAAGAACATGAACACTTCAGAAAAATGGAGATCCATATAAACTGAATTAATTCTCTTTTCAAAACTAATCTCCATTCAGTGTTTCCCTTCTACTTGGATAAAAACCTGAGCAAGCCACACCAAAGGTTGGAAATGAAAGAAACCGTTGTGTATTTATGAGTAATTAGCTTTATTAATCATTCTGTAGAATTAGGAAGAGATCTGCTTTATTTCCTGTAAATATGCAAACTTTGGACTGACTCTCTATTATCCTGCCTGTATGCACAGCACTGAATCAGAGGAAGCTGTTAGGGCAAAAACAACAGGAAACAAAGCGGCTGCAAACACCAGGTCCTTGAAAGAACAAAGTTGAGCTGCTATTTATCATCCTTGAGTGGCATTGGAGAGAGTGAGGACCAGAAGCAGAATGCCTGCCTGCCAACAGGCTAGTGGTCTGCAATATCCCCTTATCTGGATTGAGGTTCAGAGCTAATTTTAAAACCCTGCCAATGCTGGAGTAGATAGGAGGGAGTCTGAGTGGGTTTAAACATACTGCCAGAGGTAGTGGGAGGAAGTGAAATGCTGCTTCAGACTTGCAAAGGCAGGGAAGCCTGGAGCAGGGCGGGCAAGGCTTATAGACTCTTGTCTAGGGAAGGCTGGGGGGGCAGGATGAATGTTTAGCCCACTGTTCTTTTAAACCCTTTGCTTTGGGCACTGCAGGCACAGAGTGACATAACAAAACACACTTTTGCTTTACAGAGACTGTTTTTGAGTCTCTGAAATCAAATGTTATTGAGTTTTTTGGGTACTTCTATCATTGTAACATGTTTTTCTGTGTTACAGCACTGGAGGATGAATAGGAAGCAGACCCGGCAGCAACAGCTCCTTGAGTGCTGTGATCAAACAGGGCCATCTACAACAAGGAGACTGAAATCCCACCTTTTGTTCATAGTGTGCTCTTGAAATAAACAGAGAACATAAAAACCAGTGTAACTGCAAACAACAGTGCTTCTGTATGGCCTTTCAAAGAAAGAGTGAATCCCATTCCTACATTTTCTGAGGTAGTAGTACTTCAGTAATGGATGTTCAAAGCTTTGTCAAGCCTATGTTGGAAAAATATACTGGAATTTAATACGTGGAAATGCCCAGGGAAACAAACCTTGGTTCCTAACTGTTGATTTAATTTGTCAAAGTATTAGCAGTAATGTGTCATTATCTTAGCCGTATTCTAAGCCCAGTCCTTTCATACCAAAAGTAAATGTAGTGATGCTAGTGGGTCTGTTCAAATGAATTCTGAATTCCTTGAAATTCTGTGACTTTAATTGTTAAACACTTCTTCTTTTTCTTTTTCTTTAAATTGCAAGCTGAAAAAGTATGCTGTCTGTAGACAAAACCAGAAAAATTGAGCTAGTTCACAAATTACACCTAATATTATAGCATCACTGTGTATATGTTATGCTACTTTAATCTAGGAAACAACACAATAGAGCACTCCAAATTCCATTACTTTAACTATTTATATGCAGAGTCCTCTGGAGGAATTTGATATATTTGTTTCACTTAACCCTGTTATGATTAAATTTCTCACATTGTGAACAGCAGGCACAGATCTATATTTCTTTTCTTTATTTCATTACTAGCTGATAATTTTATTGTATTTCATTTTGAGATTCACCTCATGAACACAGTGTGTGTTATGCATTCAGCTAGATCTTTTTTATTTTTAGATCTTGCCTGATTCACAGTAAGCTGTACAAAAAATCCAGCCAGCCACCCAGTACCTTTTGTTCTTGGAACCATTTAAAATCAATTTGTGATCCTCTCCACCCAATCATTTTTCTTTAAAATTGATAATATTTTTTGCAAGAAAAGTTGCTGACTTGAGAACAATAATATGCTCTAAAACCATACATGCATTTTTCCTTTTAATTGGTTTTATTATATCTGTACATTTTCTTATCCTCTTCTTTGAAGTTGGAATTCTATCATGAAAAACTCAAAAAAAGAACAAGTAAAGTGTCCACCCAATCCTTTTGTGACTGCATTTAATGGAAAAGAGACTCAAATATGGTAGCCACATGAAAAAGCTTTCCTTCTTCCCTTTCCAAGGCTAAGGAAAAAAGTCTTGGATTGTGCTCTCTAAAGTTCTGAGAGAAATAGGAGTGACAAACAGTTTATTTTTTATTTATTTATTTTTCCTGGGATCTTGCCTCTCAAGAATGCCTGTTCATTTTTCATCTCTTGCAAACCTCCTTATCCAAAGCACACTAAAAGATGGGGCTGGGGAGTACACTTTGTCAGCTCCTTACCTGAAATATAAACACTGAGTGGCTCATCTGTAACGTACTAAAGGCAGCCTGAATCTTTGCCTGAGGATGTCACAAGACCTAAGTCTGAAGTAGCCAGAGCAGCTGGAAACTACAAAAGGACTCCGTAAGTCTGCCTCTGATTTTTGTCTAAGTTTGACACTCATTCAGATTCCCAAAGCTCAAAATATTTTATTGCTGCAGATGGGAGCATTTAGGAGATACCATGTATTTATTTTCTCCCATCTGTAAAGTATTCATGTGATGTTTGGAACTGAAATACAAAGTGAACTAGAAATGGATCCAGAAAATTCTCCTACTTTCTCATCTTCATACATGAAATTCACAAGACACAGAAGTGTCACAGAAAAGTAATACTGATATGAAATATTTAAAAGAACAACAATAAAAACTCAACCTACAAACCAATTTAATTGGCTTTTTTTTCAGCCCCACTGTTCCCTTTCAAACTTTGCATGTCATTAAAAGTGATTCCTATATGGAATTGTTGTCATAATTGATCCATATTCATGCAGACCCTGTAGAAAATATAGGCTGGTTTTCATGGTTCTTAAGAGGAGCTAAGATTATAATTCAGAACTAATGTATTTATTCATATTGATATTGAGATCAAATTGCTATAGCAATGAAAAATTGCATACAGAGACTAGTTCTCCAAAATACAATATCTATTGATCCAATTTATCAGTTGTGTCTTGAAATCCCAGCACTTCTAACTACACTAACCAAAATTTTTTGTTAGCTGGCGTATGGAGATATATATTCCTCTATGAAACTGTGCACAGAGAGGCCCACGAGGCTGTATCATTCTTCTTTGATACTGTACTGACCATAGCAGTGAGCACACACATTTTTTGTTAAGTTTGGCATTTGACAGGTAGCACAAGATAATGTGAAAATATTATGAATAATTTTCAGATCTGTAGCGCATGTTTTAGAGTTGTGCTCTTATTTGCTATGCATTGATAGCTTTTCAACTCTGGTGCATCAGTACATCCTGAATAGAAACACTCTATAGAATAATGTAAGAAATTAGAAAAAAAGTTGTCTCAGTGATCTGTTGCTGTTTGCTATTTGCTGTAAGTTGATAATAATTTCTTCTCATGCAGAAATAAAGATGATTAAAAGATTGTTTGAACAGTCCACTGAGTATAACATTATTATATAATATTCAGCCACAGTAGGTTGCACAGCTGTTGATATGCTGCAAACCAAAAGTACAGATTTTTTTTTTGTATATATTACATGATTGATCTGATTTACAACAAAGGAAGAAGGAATCAGATGCTCCGAGCTGCAACTGTGGCAATTGACATGTTTTCATAAAATTCTTGTTGTTGTGGTATTAAGACATTATTTAGTGTTTCCTATTGGGTGTTGAGAGGATTATCAAAGGTGGAAAAATTTTAGTGAAGGAAAGCTCTGAGATAAATTTATGTTATACAGCATTTTTACAGTAGTTGTATTTTGTTGGACTAACATTAGTACAACACCTTTGTAGAACCATAGAATATCCTGATTTAAAGGAGATGAATAAGGACCAAGTCCAACTCCTAGAAAGAATTTACAACTTAAGACTGGTGGAAAATATTAGAATTATAGGAGTAAGATGATAACTTACAAAGAAAGAAGTGGAAGTTTTCCTAGGCAAGTAAACCCAGGAGTGTTCAAGTGTGATATTCCTGGTTAAAAACTCTATCCAGAGCTTTTCTGGAGTCAGTGATATGGAGGTACAATTATTTGTTTTTTTATAAGCACCATTAGTGTGTTTTTCTAGGCATGCCAGGTTGAGAAAGGGAGCTGCCATTTTTCTGAGAACACTGAACATGAGGAATGGTACATTTTCTTAGAATACCAGAAGAAAATTTGATCTGAAGTATCTTCAGAGAAATGTAGTGAATGTCCAACACATTGGAGCAGACAGCCTATTTAACTGCATCTTTTGTTGCATTTCCTTTATCCTAAAAATTAAGAGATTTCTATCTCTTTTTTTTTTTTTTTTTTTCCTCTCTCTCTGGGAGTTGCAATATAAGCCACTGAAGCTTTCACGAAGCAGAATTTATATGACAAACAGGATTTGATCATTCAAAATCAAGATAGAAATATACATTATATAAAAATACTACCATAAAACAGGTCTTACATAAAAGACAGCAATTACTGGCCTAGGACAATATACTTGATGATGCATGGGTTAGACTAGACTAGACTAGACTAAGATTCGTACTAAAATTTGAGGTTGGCAGCTCCTGGTTAGAATTCACATGTTCACGCCACAGTTCAGGTAATTTACGTCCTCTGTATCAATTAGAAAAACTGATGAAAGCAGAAAGCAATTAAAAAAAAGTCTGGATCTCTGGGAGAAAATATATAAATATGCGAGATATATATTTGCAGTATTCATACTGAATGCTTAGTTCAGGTGCAGGATGTGATTAAGATCCTTTTCCCTGCTCTTGTTCTGCTCAGTCTTCCACCTTGGTAAACCAGAGCACAAGCGGCCTGCCTGAGAGATCCTGTGGTGGAGTCACTGTTTTGGATCTCCCTGCTTGCAATCCTTTTGGGTTTTAGACACGCTGCTTCATCCGAGCTGAGGCCAGACAGGTCTGTGAAGGATCATCATCAGCAGATACAAGAAAATAGTATCTAAAATCAGTTGCTTCAGAAATCAAGGAAACTGAACTTCCAAAGTCATACTACAAAGGAATTGGGTAAGGCAACTGCAGTCTCATCAATTACGCCTGTTTTCACCCAATGCAAATCTAGACCAGTGTATTTTTTTATACTGGTACAGATGCTGACTATAATAGATCTTTTGCATATATTCCAGTAGTTTAATCTGTTTTCCTTGTACTCTGAATACAGTTTCTGCTTGGAATGAAAAGATTCTACAATTATGGTAGTCCTGGTCTTTGTAAGTTCAGCAGCTGTTTCAAAATGTATATATGCTGCATATTTTTACATACAAAACAACTGGGAGGAGAGCACAGGAAAATGTAGAATTCAAATTGATTACCAGACTAGTTTATAAATAATGTATAAAACAATGGTATATGAATGTACTATGGCCTCACATATTTATTAGATATTGCAACCAAAACATTTTATTTTATGACAGACCACTGAAAATGAGTGTCCAAAGCTAGGCAGAATTTCAGACACAGCTAAATAATTTTCCAGTGTTTCCTACAAGGAGCAACTGCATTCTCATTTATTTTCTATTTTCAAGTCCAACCTAAGGCTAACAAGAAGTATTCCTATAACAAAATTCTTCCACTTGTGGACAAAGCAATGAGTCTGGGCAAAAATCACATAGTCTTCTCTGCATTGCAAAGACCTAGGATCTATCTCTCACTCTTAAGATCTTCCAGTTCCACAGGTAAGTGACTCTGTCACACAGAGATTGGGATTCTCTGTGGTTATGTTTCAGATCAATGGTAATGTCTTTGTATCGATCATTCAGCTGAAACTGTACTGTTGAAATTGATCTAGTCAAGTGATAACAGCTGTTAAGACAGCAGCAATTTGGCAATTGCATTTAAATGATTAAGCTGAACTACACACATATCGCAAACGTGTCAGTGTATCTCAAAACAATATGCCATATAACAAAAGCTTTTTTTTTTATTTCATCTGTGTAAAGTCAAAAATTTTGAAAGATGCTAAATAAGTATGGATGAATAAATTTTTTTA